GGGCCGCGGAGTGCAAGGCCTGTCCCCCCGGCTTTGCATGCGAGGGGACAGCTCTTGCTGCTCCCTCGGGGCCCTGTCTCCCCGGGTTTTACTGTCTCCAAAGAGCAGCAAGGGGGGCCCCCTCCGACGGGCTCACGGGGGCCCCCTGTCCCCCCGGCCATTACTGTCCCCGCGGCAGCAGCGCGCCCCACACCTGTCCCCCCGGCCTCTTTGCTGCTGCGCCCAGCAGCAGCAGCAGCAGCAGCAGCAGCAGTGGGGGTGGCAGCAGCAGCTGCAGCACGTGTCCCGCTGGGTTTTACTGTCCCCTTAATGCGCCGGAGCCGCTGCCGTGTCCCGAGGGACTCGTAAGGAGACACTTTTTTTGTTTTTTCCTTTTTTATTTCTTTATTTCTTTATTTCTTTTATTTCTTTTAATTGTTTTTGATTCTTTTGATCCTTTTAGCTGTTTTAATTGTTTTAATTGTTTTAATTGTTTTAATTGTTTCTATTTTTTTGATTCTTTTGATTCTTTTAATTGTTTTGATTCCTTTAATCGTTTCTTATCTCTTTTTGTCTTGTTTGTCTCTTTTGTCTCTTTTTTCTCTCCTTTTTGTCTCTTTTGGTTTCACTTATTTTATTTACTATTATTTATTTATTTATTTATTTATTTATTTATTTATTTATTTATTTATTTATTTATTTATTTATTTACTTCAGGTTTGCCCCGAAGGCTCCATGCAGGGGACGCACTGTCCCCTGGGTTCATACCGGGTGTCTCCAAGTGTCTCCTCAGGTGTCTCCACAGCTTCTTTTGCAAATAACTTTTCGAGTTTGTTTCCAAATTTGCATTTTAATGCATTTCTGAGCAGCTGTTTCCGAGCTCTTTCACATTGTCTCCAAAAGGTCCCTTCAAAATGCTTTTTTTCCACTTCAAACGCCCTTCCAGCTGTCTCCGCCGCTGTCTCCTCAGGTGTACAGACACCCTGCGCCCCCTGCCCCAGGGGCAAGTACTGCAGGGGCGGAGTCATAGCGGGAAACTGCGCCGCCGGGTTTGTCATTTTGGGTCACTTTTGGCTCTTTTTGTCCCTTTTTTGGCCCTTTTTTGTCCGTTTTTCGTCTCCTTTTTGTCTCCTTTTGTCTCCTTTGTCTCATTTATAACTTCTTCATCTTATTGCCTTTTTTTTGGACTTTTTTGGCCCTTTTTGGCTTTTCTGAGAACTTTTGGCGCCAGGTGTCCCCTTTAGTCTTTTTGTCTCCTTTTTGTCTCCTTTTTAGCAATTTAATTAAACAATTTACTTAAACAATTTACTTAAACAATTTAATTAAATGTTTTGATTAAATGATTTAATTGAATACTTTCATTAAATAATTTAATTAAAAAATTAATTTAAATAATTCAATTCAAACATTTCTTTTTGTCTCTTCCAGCTTTTTGTGCGCGCTGGGAAACTCTGTCCCCAACCCGGACTACAGCAAGTTCCCGCGGGACCCCTACATCCCTGCTGCTGCTGCTGCTACTGGTGGTGAAGATGGCGGTGCTGCTGGTGATGATGCTGGTGCTGCCGCTGCTCCTGCTGCTGCTGCCGACGACGACGATGCCGATAACGCTGCTGCTGCTGCTGCTGACGACGATGCCGACAATGTCGCTGCTGCTGCTGCTGCTGCTGCTGCTGCTGCTGCTGCAGGAGGCGTGTTTTGTGGGGCGTTGGGGACAGCAGATTTGTCCCTCCCGTGTCCCGAAGGGTACTACTGTCCCGCGGGGGCCCCGGGGCCCCTCCCGTGTCCGCCGGGGCACTACTGTGCTGCTGCTGCTGCTGCTGCTGCGGCCTGCCCCGGTGGCTTCTACTGTCCCCTTTTAGCAGCAGCACCCCACAAGTGTCCCCCCGGCTACTTCTGTCCCCCTGCAGCAAAAGCTCCTTCAGCTTGTCCTGCTGGCAGCAAAATGAATCCTTACGACGTCTTGCGCCGCTCCCAGGACACCGCCTGCGAGCCCTGCCCCAGAGTCCTGCTGCTGCTGCTGCTGCTGCTGCTGCTGCTGCTGCTGCTGAGGGTGCTGGGGAGTTGCGCATGCTGCTGCTGCTGCCGCTGCTGCGGGGGAGGGGTTCTGGGGACGGGTTCGCTAGAGTAGGCAGGGGCAGCAGCTGCAGCAGCAGCAGCTTTCTAGCTGCTGCAGCAGCAGCAGCAGCAACAGCAGCAGCAGCAGCAGCATATGGTTTTTGTCTCAGGGGACATACAGCGACACTCCAGGCAGTGCCGAGTGCACCCCTTGCGAGCCAGGGTATATCTGTGAAGAAGGCTGCAGCGCCAAGTAACCCTAAACCCTAAACCCTAAACCCTAGACTTTGCGCCGCGAGAGTGAATCCCTTGGGCTGAGCTGCGAGCGGCAAACCCCAGTTGATCACAAACCCCAGCTGGGCAGCGCGTAGAGCCCAAACCCTAGACCCTAGGGCCCAAACCCTAAACCCTAATTTAGGGTTTGCGCAGGCACCCCACGAGCGCAGCAGAGGGCGGGGCCCGCTGCACCCCCGGCCACTACTGTCCCCAAGGCTCTTTCGAAATGCTCCAGTGTCCCCTCGGGACTTTTAATTCTGAATTTGGAAAAGGGACTCTCGAGGACTGTCTCCCTTGCCCGGTAGGCCAGCAGCAGCAGCAGCAGCAGCAGCAGCAGCAGCAGCAGCAGCAGCGGCGGGAGCAGCGGGAGCGAACGGTAGCAGCAGCAGCAGCGAACGGTAGCAGTAGCGGCAGCAGCAGCAAACGGTAACACCACCAGCAAAAGGTAGCAGCAGCAGCACAAGGTAGCAGCAGCAGCAGCAGCAGCAGCAGCAGCAAAGGGCAGCAGCAGCAGCAAGGAGACGGCTCCAGCAGCAGTTGCTGCTGCTTCTTGAGTGGATTCTTTTTATTTCCTGCTCTCTTTATCCTTCTTTCTTTCAACCTTTGTCTACTTATTATTTATTTAATTTAAATATTATTTATTTATTTATTTATTCATTATTTATTCATTATTTATTTATTTATTTATTATTTATTTTTTAACTTATTTATATATGGATTTACCACCTGTAGTCGCTGGCGTTCAAAACTGTCCATTTGCTT